ACATTCATGTTGACCATCACATTGTTTCTTAACAAGACATGTTACATCAACTGTACAACTATAATCATCACTCAAACCACATGTCTTTGAGTCAGACAATCCACGGTAAGATGCAGTCTTGACCACCATGAACTGATCTTTAGGACAGGCGGCATTCTCTGTAGTTTTTCCATAACATGTCACTGAACCTTGATAAGGATAACACGAAATGTTAATCGTGATCGAAACTTAAAAAGATGAAGTGAGTTTGTTTACTTGGTTTGAGAATATATAATTAGATTTTGAGCACTTCTCCTCTTTACTGTTGAATACATTTCTCAGACAACCCTATCAGGCAGAAAGATCGTACTGGCAGAAAAGAAACTTACCAAAAATAAAACGTTTATTCTCCCCGTCTACACAGCTTGCGTTTGTTTTTAAGTATCTATCAGGGTCTGCACACCTGGCTGCAGAATGCAAAAGGCCAGATAAACCTCCCGAAGAGGTTTGTTTTATAACCCGTTTGTTAGCACAGGCAGATAATTCTATATTTTCTGGGGTAGCAGGAACGTAGACGTAAAACATTTCAGGAAGCCTATGCTTGTGATATATAGCGAGACATCCTTGTCTTTTCAAATTCAACATGGCGCCATTATCACGAAACCGAAACTGAGCAGCTGGATCCAGACAGTTGTTGGTGAGTTCAAGAAAAGATACGCTGCCCCAGTCCGAGCCGTCTGACTGTATTCGTGCTGTGTCATTGATACACTTTCCTGTTTTGATATGTTTTACAAAAAAACCAGCAACAGCTAAAAATAAAGAAAAGTCGATCGAAAACGCCGTAGTTAATACAGAAATGTCAGTCGCAACGTCAAAGACGAGGGACTATGAACGATGACTAACTGCTACGCTGTTATTACATGCATTCTCTCTAACATTTCCTTAATCATTTTCACTTTTTCTGCGGATATTGAAACTGATGTAACGAAATCTTTTCACGACACGACGGCACAAACAAAGCTGTACATTTTCTATATTGCGCGAATAATGCATGTCAGTTTAATATTAGGGGAATTTTCAATCTATAAGTTATTCCAAAAACAATATATTTTTTAAAAACTTTACTGGTCAACACCGGCTTTTAAAGTTTAACAGACAAATTTGATGAAATATAAGGAAAAAACCAGCTCCGAAAAACAACATGTTGTAAACTTTTTTACACCGAATTTCCGAATATCTGTCTTGGGTTGTTTCAAAATGATTGACTGAGACAGAACTATACATGCAGATGCAATGTGGTGCTCTACACCTAAAACCTGTTGACCTAACAAGTGCCTGGCTGTGGCCATAACAACCACATTGTTTAATCCTGTTTTCATCAGTGTTCAACCAGGAAGAATCATGCAGTGTAGGGAACTAACCGAAACAAAATGAGGCCTATATATACAGTCGTAATGTCGTGAACATGCCAAAATGGCTGATGTGTTGTTGTACATGTGCAGTCAACAATGACCCATTTAAAAACAGAAATAAAGACAAGTTTACATCCCGACTTTTTCTCACTGGTGATGGAATGACTTGTTCACGACCATTACGACAAATGGACACCAGTTTAAAGACGACTAAAGCACGTTTAGACGTCACACCATGAGCCGAGTCGAATGCAAATGAAGTTAAACAAAGACTTTAGCTCATTAGGTTCGCCACATGAAAAGTTCCACGTAAGAAACGGATCTTAATTATTTAAGCGTAACAGAAATGAGAAACGTAAATAATTTCTAGTAGGGCAATGGTATATCCACAGGAATTTACCAGGTGGCGTGCCTTGCGATTTATAAAAACATTTTATTCTTTGCTGGAGTAAACGAAATAGAAAATTTTGAAAGATCAAACATAGCTACAACAACGAATAAACGTACAAATTATACCTATGCATAATTCAAAATTATTTCACATATTATAGCCAATTGTAGTTATAAACTATAATGATTAATTTAAGCTTCATCTTAAATCTAGCCTATATAGTCAACACTAACTTTCTCTAGGATCAGACACTGCCTCTAATGAACGTCAATAGATGACAAAATATATGACGTAGGATCGTTTCAGACGTCCAACCTTTCGTGTGCCGAATCGGATGAAAATGAACTTAGACAGAAAAGACTTCAGCTTTTTAATATCAGGTTTCGCACATGATAACGTCTGAAATAAGCCTTTGCATGCATTATCTTATATATAATAACAACACTGAGTCACTGACCGTGTTGATGAAAATAGAGAAGATGAGAGATGAACCAAACCAAATTCCTCTTCCAATTATCCCGGAACATGGTTATATCTTGGGAAATATCAACTGTGTATTTCACAGCTAAGCTGTAAGGATTTGTAGTGTTAATTGACCAAAGCGGAAGCAAACAACTGCCCACAAATATAGTCACATATCATTCTTATGAATATTCAACTGTTGCGCCTCCTTACAGGACCCCAAGAGACGAAATAGATCCCGTTGTTTCTAATCGAAAATGAGACTTGTTTGTACACGACGTAGTTTGATACGCCTTGAAAAATATTTCATTTTTTCGAAATTTTGATTTATCACAGTGACGCAAGGGCTCCTCTCACGAAAACTCTTTCAACGGGTGAAGTAAAAAAAACTTAATTTACTTCGAGCAATGGGAATAAAAAGATTAAGTTCATAAAATCTGATCAGATTAATCATTGTTGAAGATACGTAGAAGATATATTCCTCACTAGCATGTTTTTTTTTTAACTATTACTTTACTTCTTTTTTAATTATTTCTTTACGAACTTTTAATCGAACTTTCAAAGTCTTCGCATCACGTTTATCTGGTGTTCATCACGAAATTTCTCTTGAATATTTTCCTGTATCATTCCTATTCGTCGCCATTTTTAGTGAAAGATGAAAATATCACGTCGTACTCTCATTGAGAGGAAAACAATACTCAATATGCAAATTGAATAAACAGATTAAATAAAAAAGGTTTATATATCCGTGTCACAGTAGATCAATATAAGCATTCTAACCAATGACTCGTGCGATGTTCAACGATACTTCAGCAAATAGTGTAGTCGCCTGAAAAATATTTGTGCAAAAGAAATTTGTACTCAAGTAACGCATTCAAAGCAGTCAGAAACAAAGGATATAATTGCTGATTCAAACATAAAGAAAGTGCAATTTTTTTTTGGCATTAGAGATATTGATATTGAGAATTAGCTACCACGCAATGACTCTCAAGAATTTATGATTATATAACTTGCTTATATATATATATATATAAATAACTGAAACATAAACATGAAGCTATAGAGTTTCTTTTCTAGTACAACGATATTTTGGCCGAGAATTTGAATGCAAACATCGGTTTGGTGAAAATTAAAGGAAAAATACTTTGGCATTAGAAGTACTTGATATTGAGAATTAGCTAACACGACACTGACTCTCAAGAATTTATAGCTTATATATATCTTGCCTATATACATAACTGAAAAATAAACATAAAGCTATAGAGTTTCTTTTGAAGTACAACGATATTTTGGCCAGTAATTTAAATACAAATATTAATTTTGTTAAAAATAAAGGAGAAATACTTGGAAACCAATATCGCCCCGCACATTAATCACCACACACGCCATATGCCGGAAGTTTAGAATATTAGTTAATTGTATATTATCTAAATACTTCAATATTTTTTTATGTTTTGTGTGTCTATTTGTTATCCTTACCGCCTTAAATGTTTGTCGGCTTAAGATCACAGCTTATTTGTGTTCAAGTTGGATACAAGTTATTAATTTATGAAGCTCGCTGTGCACAGTCGGTGAATCGCATGAGTCATTGAAGGGCTTATATTGATCGTATATCAATGATGAAAACACTTCTTTGAATTAATTTCATGTTTGTATAAATTTGCATATCGAATACAACTTTTTCCCAGCCATTTTCCAAGTACGGCCTGAGAAAGGGAAGTGCGGGTGAAACTGACGACACAGGAATATATTGTATATAGTCAACATGTCTGTTTTAAAACGTGGTAATCCGGAAATCTTTGTTTAGGATAGACCGGATCACGCGCCTTCGTTAATTTATGTACATCGAAAGTTGATATTGTCTCTATTAATATTTCAACTTCCTCTCTGTTGTGTGAACTAAGGAGGTCTTCATATGGTTTCAGACTCATCTCACAAAATGAGTTATATTCCGTGTGGTATTATTATATTAGCTGCTTATGTTAACGTTTTCGCTACTGCTGGTAAGTTTCAATACGATTAAGGACAATCGATTATAATGACGATGAAGATAAGAAAGTTCTTCTGAAACAAAAATTAGTCATATTTTTACTGAGATTATTACCCTGCACGTCACCAATAAAAAAATGATGACCGCATTTTGATAAGTACTCTATATAAGAAGATAGCTCGTGATTCTGTGGGTGATAATTGTTCGATAAAATAACGTAATGGTTTAATTGTTACTTTCGATTCACTTACAGGATATTGTTTCAATTTGGGTGCATCTGTCAATACCTTAGATACGGAACGAGAACAGCTAAGGCCCGTTTTAGACGTCGAACTTTTCATCTGCCGAATCTAATGTTAATGAACTAAAGTCTTTGTTGATTTGCATTTGATTCGGCACATCAAAATTTCGACGTCTGAATCGGGCCTAAAGTCAGGAACAGTTTGAGCGGGAGTTAAATCTGTCTTAAATCTCATACTAATTAGCACGCATTTTATTTCTCAGGTGGTTCAAATTGTCCTTCAAATGGCTGGTATCGAGTCAAATGCTCGTGCTTTATTGTTAAAACCTCAACGGAAGATCTCAACTGGAACAAGGCAGAAGAACGTTGCTCCAGGATGAATAAAGCTAACCTTGCAAGCATTAAATCCCAACACCAAAATGAAATTTTAGGAGAACATTTGTCGGGAAAAAAGAGTTGGATTGGTTTAAGATCAGATGGGAATTCATCAATATTACTTAAAAATGGAGAGAAAGCGACATTTCTTAGAGGAGTGAAAACGAGATATGACCAATCAAGATGCATTGCCAGTCGTTTAACAAACAACATTTGGCTGGGAGGAAAATGCGGGCAAAAGCGAAGATATATTTGTTCTCGTAAACCAGGTAACTATGCATCAACCATGCCCCAATTTATTCGATATTATTTATCAATTTATCATCATTCGAAATTATTTATTAACTTATCACAATCATGGACACGCGGTGAATCATGACAGTCTGATAGACGTATAAGAATACATATTTTTAGTTGGAAATGAAAGTTGTCGCGAAGGATGGAGGCCTCATCGTAATTCATGTTACGCCTTAGCAATCAAACCACTAGCCTACAATGAAGCGGAACAAAACTGTATTAGAATAAATAGCACACTTGTTGAGATTTCCACGAAACAGGAATACGAGTTTCTCCGAAAACGGCTTCACACGGGGGATGAGATTATAGAAGTCTGGATTGGTTTACAGAATGAGACCAGCGCCAATAATTTTGACACTCTAGGAGGCCATGTGATAACCGAGACAAGGTCAAAAAACTGTGTTAGGATGGAGCTTGCTAAGACTAGCGTAATATGGGAGGCAAAGAAATGCAATGCAACACTGAAGTCATATGTTTGTGAAACAAGGAATATTGAATTGGGTAAGTCTAAAAACATCGTAAACTAAGATAAAATATATTGATATTTAAAAAGTTTTCATAAATTGATGTATACTTTTAAACTCAGTCAAATTTTGTCTGCACAAACCTTTTTTAATTCTCTTCTAGATTTCAAAGTTAACGTGACAAATGTAAATGAGACGTCAGCAAAGATATCTTGGTCAACACACCCTCATGAATGTTTATTATCTAGTGACGAAGAATATAAATTAGAAATACACGAAGAGACCAAATTGAAATATTCAATGAAAATAACCCTGCCTGAATCATCTCAGATTGTAGGAGACTTTAAGCCAAAGACCAAATATCAAATTAAAGTTGCACGGAATAATAAAACGATGGCGGTAAAGAACTTCTCAACATCGAAAATAGGTAAGTTGCTTGATGAAGGAGGCTAGACTTGGTAGATGAGTTCATATACACAACAACAGTTTTATAACTTTGATTTTTAAAGAAAATCCACTTCACGTGCTGGCAAAGATTTCCAGTCAAGAGATACACGCAAAAGAAGGCGATACTGTGAACCTTCTGTGTGCAGTCACAGGGGAACCACCAATACGTTTCAGTTGGATAAAGGACAAAAATATGATGAAAAGCTATGTCGAAACGAAAAATCCTCAACAAAGTTCAATCCTTTCAGTTGTGCTAAAAAATCAAACGCATTTTGGCACATATATCTGTCATATCAAGGATCAATTTGGCAATAAAACCCATGCTATTAAAGTCATTCCGTTATCAGAAGGTAGGATTGCAAACGTAAATGATAGTTCAGTTGTTGATAGAGAAGATAGATTATGGTGAAGATATGGCACTGGTGAAGATTGATGGATGGACGGCTGATGATTATTCCAGCAATATTAACAATATTAACATGCAGCCTAATTCAGCAGGATCACACAACCATCACCTAAAATTTTCACTTCTTTTTCAGATGATCAGTCGGAAAACAATTTGTTTGTGATCGTTATTGTCATTCTTGGGATAGCTGTGGCTATCCTACTGGTCATTATGGCATATTGCATCAGATCTATCAGGCGTTTAAGACGTAGACTTGAGGAAACGAAGAAAACAAGTCCAGTGACGTTAAGAAATGTTTCAAAAGAGGGTTTGACTTATGACAAACCGCAGCCATCACCTGGCAAAACAAGTATTGACGTTCGTTATGTTTCGCCCGAGGAGGAAAACGAGGCGTACACGGCTCTGAGAAGGAATGGTGACGAAGAAGAAAATTTTTACTCGCCACTGAAAGACGCACCTCTTTACGTCAATGCAAATGAATTTAAATAAGAGCCCTGATTTAGTCAAATGTTAATAGAAATTAGACTTAGAGAGTCAGCTGACTGTTGTGGATCTTACGAGGCTTGCGTTTTATACTTTATATGGCGAGGCGAATCAGTAACTCGATTTATATAGTAGTGACAACCTATCGATTTGAGCGAAAATGATTCTCTATTATTGCTGCGCTTAAAGGCGATTCTCATTGCCATCCGGTCCCCCCTCGGGTTCCCCCAGTGCCGGCGAAGCGGATTTTGAAAATCTGCCCGGCGACGGGCAGAAAAAACAAAGCCCGCGCGGGCGGAGAATCGCCTTGAGGGCAGATATATCTGCTGGCATTGTCGCGTTTTTACCCCCGCTTCGAACCTCACCATTGTTTTTAAGCAATATTATAATTGCCCAGTGCCCACGTGTTTGTCTTATTTGGCAAGATGGCGTCTTGGACCTTCAAAGCCGTTTATAGATGAAGTTAATTGAGACGAACTAGTTTTATAGCGGAGGTTTGCCCAGGCGGATCATATGTTTCTTGTAAAAATTTGGCCAGGTCTTTATTGTGTTGGCAAAAGGGGTTTCACTAAACAGTTAACAGTATAAAACACGGTCATTGTACCTGATTATGGATTATAACTGCACAATCTTGCTTCAGACTTCGACTGTGTCAACTGTTTGACTAGCCAAACAACAATCCCATCACAGAGCCATCACAGAGCATCTCCCATTATTACATGTTTGACTCAAAGATAGCGATTCACAAGCGATTTCACTTGATCCAAAGTACAAAAATCATCACAGTGTAAAGCGTGTTCAAACGCTCTCCTTCTTCCCATGTGCAGAACGCATAAAACATCAGTGATCTCATTCATGATTACCTCATTATCTATTGCTGTTTATGCGTTTGTCCCATGAAAATCACAGCATTGGACATAAACAATGGCCCTTGTTTTTTGCTTTCTCTCGCGGGACCGTTGAGTGGTGATTACTCTGGTAATCAACAAGCTTACCAAGTACTGCAAAATGCAAATTCAAAACTCTTTTCAACGTTCTCAAATATCGTGCTTCTCTTCCTGTCAAAAATCAAGTTTGTACAAATAAACTTGATAATACTTTCGGCAACCAAAGGGTCTGAATATTCAAATTTAAAGTTTTTAAGTTACTTACTTACTTACTATTTTAATTAATTTACATAATAAATGTTTACAAACTTTGTCACAGATAGAACATTATCTTTAGTTTTTCACTAATTTTATACTTTACAGTGCATTAATTTTATTTTTTACAGCGCTATAAATATACGAAGTTCCCCAATATTATCAATTCTTTAGTAAATTTCTTGTTTAATTTCTGTAGCGATCCAAAAGCTAACACGACCATTTACATTGAGGCCTTAAGAACACATAATGTCTCAGTTTCACTGAGAATGAATGTGTGCCATGATTACTTGTTAAAGTTTGTCCAAAGAACAACGGCGACTGATTGTCTTGCAGAAGCTGGTATGCCTTCTTCTCACAAGGAAATTTTATTTCACCAGCATTTCCACTTTCATAAGAAGATACTCCATAAGGCTATCACAAACAATAGCAAGCTAGGAACTGCGATCTGTGTCCCAGAATGAATACCTCCAACTTCCCTTTCTTGTGTTTTCATTTTTGTTTGCAACGAATGATCTGCAAAAAAATTGAATGATTCCAAAATAATTGAAAAAAAATATAGTTAACGACGATTTTCACGAACTTTTTGTATGATTCTTACCAGTGGTTGTAGGAGATGGATTTTCACGTTGTGTTTTAATACGTCTGGTCGTATTTCTCTTTTCGGTAAGTATTTCTCTTTTCATTGGACAGTTCTCAGGACCATCTGGAAACAAATCATTCTCAGAATGAATTTTATTAAAAGTTAGATCCTTCAAATTAGAATTTGTATTGAGACTTACTGAGTTACTCCACATGAAATTATTAGTATTGTCATCGTCACAGCCATATACAAACATTATTATCATCATAATTATTATTTGCCATTATTTCCAATATTATACCCACTTACCATACACAGTTAAGCTGATCGTTCTATTATGCCCGAACCCGTATTCATTTTGAACAACGCAATAATACGTTCCTTCATGTTTCCTCTTAATCTCAGCGATCGTGAACAATCCTCGGCTTTCGCTATTAGTTCTATCAATATTACGATAAAGAAGATTTCTCCCGTGGTAGATGTAAAATTCTTCACAGGAATACTTGATCTACTGGTCTCGCATACGAAAGATACTGCATCACATTCGTACACAGTGTTATCCAAAGCTGCAGTATGAAAGAACGATCTTATCCTTGGTCTCTCTGTAATAAGCAAGAACAACAAATATATCACTTCTTCATGCAGTAAACGAATTCATGATGAACATGCCGTTGTTTCGCTGTAAATCAAGATTGCGTCAACTTATGGATTGATTACTTTAGGAAGAGTCTTAACCTATTCTTTAAAAAGACATTTGGGATAGCAAGTAATCTACTACTCAACACCCACCATTGACCACAATGTTGACTTTTTTCCTTGTCTCATTAAATTCGTTCTTCGCGCGACACTCGTACGTGCCAGAATCCGAGAGATTCGCATTTTTTATCTGTATCATGCTTCCACTGATCTTACTCCAGCTATCTGTACGTCTATACCATGATACACTGGGGACCGGGATGCCACTTGCTTCACATGAGATGTTCACGTGATCACCGTCAAATATGGTAATCTGAGGTTCAGGAATGGAATGAATCACAGGAGCAGCTACAATATGAAATTTTATGAGATTAAACAACTGTCTTATGATGCCAAAGCTGAACTAGTGTAGGAAGAATCATGCAAAGAACGAATCCGAATGGAATAAAAAGCTAACAAATTAACTTTATGTACTTACTTCCAACTAATAATTCTGTTTTGCGCCAGATGGGACGGGCTTGACCCTCAATCGACACTTCGCATTTGTAAAATCCGCTATTTGCAACTGTGACGCTGTGTAATGTCAATACACCAGCATCTGTTTCAGTGACCATTCTTGCTGAACTGTCGGTGACATGGAGACCACCTTTGTTCGTTCTGTACGCTATAATCTCTTTAGTACTTTCAAATTGTACGGACTTGCTGTAGTACAATGTCATCATAATTAGTGACTCGTGGTTTCCTAAAGTGAACGTCCAGTTAAAAGTGACATCTTCGCCAACTGTGGCTTGAACTTTCTCAGATGGTTTAGACAAGAACTTCGCTTGATGACCTAGAATAAGAATAATAAAATTAAGCAATAAGGCATGAGAAAGGTTTTCTTAATTCTCAGGTTTCGTTCGGGAATTATAAGACTAATATACAAATACAAATACGGGACCGTCATGGTAATCTTTGCAGAATCTTATAAATATAGGAGACAAGCTAATGCCCAACAAAGACGACTAAGGGGCTGATTACATGAGCCCTGTTACCCGAGATTCAACGAAGCGTGAGATGATTTTGAGGTATTGAGTCTTTATGATACCAAACAAGCACATGCTATTAATGTGGTGATTATATGACTGCCAGGATCATGTTATTTGCTCATTTCAATACCTCAAAATCATCTCATGCTTCGTTGAATCTCGGGTAACCGGGCTCATGTAAACAGCCCCTAACACTAATGCCAATACCAATACCAATACCAATGCCAGTGAAAACTGGCAAAGATCATAATGATTTAAACTCCCATTACAGTTCAGTTTCTCTCTGTAAAGATGACTGATAAAAACTAGTATCATCAATGATTTAGTTAATGCGGGAAAATAAAAATAATGACAACTTGATAAAATTAACTTTGACCTCTACGCGCCCACTGAGGCAACTCTGTGAGAAAACCCGGTAAGGAAACCACACACACAGTCTCGTCATGTTTCTCATCTGAATTTTATCATCTTATCACGAATTTGAATAATGTCAAGCCTGAAGCTAGCCTAGTTTTGAGTCAATATTCTTCCGGTCGATATTCGCTTTTGATGATTAATCACGATTAACGATCTCACAGAATTAACAACAGATAGCAAATCACACGTGGTAAAAGCATGAAGATTAAGTTTTTTACGACAACGAAAACTTTAGTCTCTTCTTATGTTTTTAGTGTGGATATGATCCGTGAGATAAAATTAGCAATGACCACAGCTGATCACATATTAAAAACACTTGAATATTGCTTTTTAAATATAAACTCTAAACCTTTCCATTTACTGTTTAAGCTTTTAAAAAGTACGAAGCACACGCCATTAACTAACTGACAGCGACGCTTTTACTCACAGGAATCAAATATCCTGGTGTTAAACAAATTACTTGATGGCGCGCCAAACAGCCAGTGAGTTAAGTAAATGAGGAAGAAATTGCATGAATTATGAATTTCTACAAAGCTGAAAATGCTCCAAACACGCCTATTGCTTTTATAAGCAAAGGTTATATATATGATATGTTCATTATGATGCTATATGGGTAATATCAAACAGGTGATATTTCTCGAATTAATAATCAGAATAACAGCATGAATACAACATTTGTATGCGTTTGTTTAACAACAATTGCCCAAGCCTGGCTCATCATCATTAAAAACAACTTTAGTAACACAATCCACAGTTTATTGTTCTCAAATTGCTGTGTTTTAGGCGCTGTAGTTGACAAAACAATGCTGGCTCACGATATATGACGAATAAAAAAACACCACTAAAAAAAGCTCAATTAAAGAGAATTATTTCTGCACATCGCACGTTTAAAACTGTTGTAATGTTCATGATATGATCGACATAAGGACAAATGTCTGAGGACAGACAAACTGACAAAGACGATGAAGTATACATTCATCACTCCATGCATGTCTGCAGAGATCAGAGATCAAACGTGGTAGAATTGAACAGTATATATATTTATACTTATACAGTATATACTAATACTAATACTTTAGACACACACAAACACAGCCATAGGAACTCATAAAATGCACAAAATAACAGGAAAAATAATAATTATCCAACACTCATTCATATTTTTATGTTTACTTATAATTAGCGAGTGAATTGAAATGGGATATTAATAATCTCGTGTCGCCCAGTTGGAGGTTTCGTACAGAGTTGTACAATTTAAAGTTTTCAGTGATACAAGGTGTATTTGTCATCTTCTCAATAAAGACTAGCGCATATCAAAGCCTGCAAGTGAATGAAAAGACTACCATCTTCATGGCTGATTCATTTGATAAGCAATTCAATTCACATTCGAAACCACAGTGAAATTTGATATGTTTTTTGTATGTATTTTGTGTAAGGTGTCCGGCGCCCATCGTTCTTTCCTTGCACCTGCCAAAGACAATGATCGCCCAAACGCCTACACTCAGATGAAACAAGTCATGTTTTTCATAGTTGAACCGTAGGAATGTTTTCTGGCGGAGCTGATACCCGCGGTATAGCAAACTAGCATGATGCAGACCATATGTGCTGATCAGTGCATTGTTGTTGTAATGATTCGAGGTGAAAGCAACCAATTTTATGGCTCTTTAAAATGTTTCATGAAATATGTATTTATTCTAAAATACATTCATTAAAACTTTGTACTTATATATAGCTTCCAGAGATAGTTATTCGTTTTAAAATTAGAGTTCTTGTCAGGTTTTTGACTAAGTAAAGATATTCAAAGTAAGAAAGAAGAATACAAAACAACTTTGTGTATAATGAAGCCGAACGTGGATAAATTAGGTTGCGATAAATAAAACCTTTGAACATGCACGAAATATATTTTGAAATTCCCGACCGTACGAATTGAGGTAATTTTTCATTCTGATTAATCAGAGATACGCAGAAAAAGTTAGTAAAGTTCAAAGGTATGGGAGGACGGAAGAAACATAGTATGTTTCAATGCCTCAACCATCATTAGACATTCATGAGGATCCAGTCTCATTTCAGGCTCTCGTTATTTAATACAAAGATCTCGAGATTTTCAGCCCTTGAAGCGTGCATGTACACAGTTACATAATAACGGACATTATTAGATAAAAATTGGTTAACCCTAACTACACAGAGTTCAATGAACAATCACCTGATCTAGTACAGATAAATCTTGTGTAGGTTCGACAAACATATGAGTGCGGTAATAATGATCTTTGCAATCAATATATTGTATATATTACTTAAATATTTGACAAATTACCTTGGAGGAAGAGATGGCATAACATCAGGGCAATAAAAGTCACTTCCCTCATCTTCAATAAGCGAAAATTCATCAGATGAAACCTTTGTAAAAGAAGTTCAAATGATTCAGTTCCTCAGCCTTTTTATCCAAGATTTGGAATATAGAGGTCAGCAATTATCACGATGCAATTTAATAAGACGCACAGTTGACGGTCAGCCACAAGCGCGATGCGATTGGTTAAATCTATTTTCTCGACTTCAAAGCGCAATAGGTTTTAATAACAATGTTTCAGCCGTGTGTTTATGCAGTCAATCATGAGAAATGAAATAGCTGCTTCGCTTACAAGAGGTGTGATCCTTGCCCGGAAAAGCAGTGTTGACCTTTTGCGTAAATTGAATACCTGGTGTGTATCGGTCTATCAGAGTTGTTTTCATAATGATAACATCGTCAAAGGCGTATACCGATAAGGCACGATTAATTGTCTCGATTACATCCTCAGATGTTTCATCATCTCTTGGGGCAAAATTCAGAAATAATCATTTACTTGAGGGTTGAATTTTTTATTCAGAACTCCTCAGGTATTGGTCTGACGCGACAGTTCGGAAGTTGTTAGTCATAATCATATCTTTACGCTGCTTGAAATTGCAAAGGATGTCCTCCTTCTAGCACATCGTGAAAGACAAAGATTTTTTGAAACGACACAAATAAACACATTTATAGACACATGCTATCGTTACAATACACGACCAATATACCGTAAGCATACATGTGCATTTGTGCGGTGTCCTTTTCAATGGATGTATGTTATTGTTGCATTTGTGGATTGCTCTACTACCATGACTACTATGTTTTCCCCACAAAAGCAATATCGCCAATAACGCGCATTGCATGAAAGAAAAAGAAGTAATTTAAAAATAATTCCCTTGCTGACAACATGACGTGATACATGCACGATTTGTTTGAACGAAATGGAAGAAGAAAATGGAAGACGAAGTAAAGTATTCGTAGAAATATAATATCAGATCATGCATATTACACGGACTATAGAGATAGATTTGCTACGGATTACAAGACAAAGTAAGTAGCAAATACGATACGATAACAGCACAAAATTCAGATACAACACAGTTCATTCATCTACTTACATTGCTTTTCGCAGAGTATACAGCATCGCAGACAATTTCCAACAATCTCACTTTCAATTTTCTCCAGTTCTAAATTGCACTTAATGAAAATAAATTAAAATGGCACTTCCAATATTATGCATGATGTTGAAAACCATTATAGGTCTCATTAGTTATTAATACTGACCCGTATGTTTTCAACGACTTGATGCAATCACATGAATGCTGTACGTGTGCGTTTCAAGCCTTTTTGAATGTGCTGAATAATGACCTCCTTGATGCACACAAGACATCCTATTTACATGCACAAATATGCTCCCAAATGGACATGAGAATGAGACAATATGTTTATAGGTACGTTTTAGGGTAAAGTTGATCATGGAGTTCAGTGCTAAAGGAGGTACTTTAGAAATGTAAATGAAAATGTGATGTGTTACTTTCCATAAAATAAACGAGCTCTCAGAGTCTCTGTCGTGTTTGACTGTTTGTCAGCCATAGCTCAATCCTTCTGTTGTAGTTTACTGAATCGTAATACTTACCTTTTTAATATAAGTTAAGCCCCAAACTCAGTGCTCCAAAATAAAAAGATTATAGATACTGTAAGATGAGTTGGCTTAAGATATGTTAGGAAACACCGTTATTTCTCATCTAAAATTTACTTTTAGTGCGATGCTCGAGAAATATAAAGACAAAGCAATCTACAAAAACTTAATCCTTGACTGCGACGTGTCTGTGTTAATCATAAACTTTGAAAAGAGATGAGCAAACAAACGAAACTACATAGAAAATTAAATGGCGGGGAATAGAGACACATGACAGATATACATCATCAATCATCACTGAGACTGTTCGACCGCGACACAATTCCCAAGGCACTGGGTACAAGGAAGACCTGGATCCTTAATTCGTCACATCCAGGATGAGGAAGCCACATTTGAGATCAGTCATCTGACTTCGCACTCGAAGGCCTCGCAAGGAAATGACATTTTGGTTTATTTAAAAAAAACAAAATCTTTTTCTTTAAGATAATATTGTGTTCCAACTTCCTTTGCTTTATTAGCATTTAAAACCAAGCATGATTAAGATAACGGAATCTCCTTATCTTCAAGCTCCCGATCAGTTTCCTCTTTGACGTATTTCAAATTATAACAACAACAGATGAAAAGCATAATCATGGACGTAGTCTCATAATAGGCTCGTTCATGTAATGGACACAAGTCATTTTCAACGATGCGAAATAGTCTTTTTCTACACCCCATTTGTTGTGTGTAGTGTATACATTAGTCTATACTTGCGGAAGAAACAACTCAACGATCTTTTACATCAGTCTGCTTGCTGTGACACGTCAGTCACGCGATTAAATTAAAAGCAACTTGATGGCCCAATGTTCAACCGTCTTTTACAATATGACGATCGAAAAATTAAAGATTTTGACATCGTTTAAACTGCCGTTCATGGCCTAAAATCTATTTCATGTAGAGTCATAAATATTTCACAGGAAATGCACAGCTGTGGTTCTATTGATCAGTGCTTCTTGCGCTTTCAAAAAGCCAACAATTAAACCACATTTGAATGTTTGAAATTCATGTCACTAGGATACGAGGGAAACCCGCGATGCGCCTTTCTTCGCGTTAATTAATCGGAAAATTTATTCGGGAGATTGAAAGAAAGACGACAGAAATAAACGCTTTTCAAGACCGTTTGTGTATCGCATCACCAAGGAATTTTAGCAGAAAATTGGACAATTTGTGGCTTTTTCACAAATGGAAATGTTCATTGTCCAACAGGTGGATGATCCATGGCATAAGATTGATCGTACGCATCATTCTGATAGCAGGTATCATGCAAATTTAAATGTTTTCAAGCAAAAGATTAGGTAACAACGTCAACAAAAGTGAGAGTTTAGTCTTCAGTTAATGCTTCAAAGTCATCAAAACTCGATAAATTATCTTGACTGCTTTCTTCATTTCAAAAATGTCATCATTCCATGTTTTACTACAAGAATTATTCCCTTTTCTATGAACGTGAACTATTGAAAGCGATAAGATTTTTGAACCTATTTTGTAAAACAATTGCATTCCACATTCAGAAAGAGAAAAAATATCAAGCTGCGAGAATTTCATTGCTTTGACTGCTGATTTAATATATTAAGTATAAAAGATTAGTATGCAATAAAGATTAGGATAAGATTGATTAGGGCGCAGATGATCACAGCAGGATATTGAGTGGTATCAGCAACATCAGGGGATTATAAAACTGTTCTCTTTCGACAGAATTTGAAAGGTCTGCTAATCATAAATTATGGATGCAAAAGACTGCAAATATGCGGACCCTCAACTCCGGGACCAAACCGAAAACCGAAGATCGATTTTTGATTTCTCGAGCGTTGAAGATCTCCGTCGACCTGACGATAATCAAGACTCCGACCCAGTCAAAACACAGCCCACAATACCATTTAAAGAATCATATATAGCGCATGCGCCTAGTCGCCATTCATTTACACTGAATAGTCGGTATACTTTTTTCGGGGGTTTGAGGACATCATCTAAGGATATGAGCGCATCAACTGAGGATCTTGCTGGATGTACGGGAAGAAAAGAGCGCCATCTTAGTTTGGGCAAATTTAGTAAAAGTTCTCCGGATTTATTTGGTGCTAGTTATCAGTCCACTCGCGCCGATGCTGGCATTAAACAGCAAACCCAAGATACGTTTGTTATGAATATAGATATTGAAACTGATGATGAAAACGAAAATGGAGGTAGTATAAAACACGAGAAAACTAAACTCGAAAACGATACCGTACGCACGCAAACAGAGCACGAAGCAAGTCCTCATCTGAGTTTTACCGCATTTCAAAATACAAAACGAGATCTATCTTTTGATAATGACGATGATAGTGAGAATGCGCATGTGCAACATCCGGAAACGAATGATGACGACAGTTTATCGATCGAGGGAACATCTGAAAGCAACGAGAAAAAAAGAAATGTTTTTCACAAAGGTTGGAAAACTATTTTATGTTCAGGAAAAGCGGAACTAAAGAAGTCTTTAGAAAATTTAAGTTCGCTCAAACAAGATATGAGCTCTCGAGAAATTCAAAATATTGAAACGTTTGAAGATTCAGAAGCGTTGGAAGAAGATGAAGTAAGTTTGGAACAAGTGAGGGATTTGGTCAATGGCAGAGGTTATGGAACGGGGGACCAAAATAAAGATGAAACTACGGATTTGAACTTCGAAGAACCGCAAAAAATTTCACCAAATCTCGAAGAAGAAATTAGTAATATCAAAGAAGGAGATATAGGTATTTGGGTCCCGAATACAGCAGAAAATATACTCAAAATAATAGAATCCAGTGAAGATTCAAGATGGACAACACTTGACATGGACAAAACAGATGGTACTGGCAATACTGCGTATGCAGCGACAACACAAGAAGAAACAGCCAATGAAAACGTAGAAAAGCAGGCTGCATTAGCGTGCATCAATGACAGCGAACACTCATCCACTTCAGAAGAAGAACTCACAGGTGTTCACGAACAGTTTCATACAAACTACCGCGATACGGCCACGTCTGAAGTACAAGAAAATAAAGAAGACTTGATCACGAACGATAACATAGAATCAACTGCGATTCAGAAGAACGATTCACAAGTGGACGGAACGAACAGTGGAGGAATAATGGTTGATAACGAGGGATACTCTTCCCATTCTTGTAATATATCCCCCATAACATTACGAGTCTTGAGTAACCGCACTGTTCGCGATGAGAACACAGCAAAGCAAAATACGAACCTGTACAAGAGAGGGTGTGACGATACGACAGTCAAAGTTTCAGGTATTCGCCAGTCTAGCATCTGTGTACGGGGGGAAAACCAAAGAGAGGTCGAAAGGGTCGAAACGCACGAACCAAACAGAAATGATCAGAACGAAAACACAGATCAAGATGACGCCAGGAAGCTTGAAACATCGCAAGAGAAAACAGACAATTCTCTTTTGAAGAACATGATGGGCATGTTTTGTTTGCTGGGACTTAAAGATTCTCCTGAAGGTGGATTTTATGGCAACGGACAAAGAGAATTAAGGTCGCTAAAGGATCCAATAAATTTCGAGCAAGAAATTTGTGCGGACGGCGAAATACACGAGCAAACGAAGAAAAACGATGTAGATTTACATGAGAATATTGAAAGGAAACTATTTACTCGCATAGAGAATGAAACAATTCTCGAAGCAAATGAAGATTCCGAAGAAAATGACTCGGTGTTGGATCTTAGCTGGGAGAAAAACGGAGCAGAAGACGCAAAGCTTGGTATTGACAACAACACTACGAAAACACAGCTGATGATGGATGACGAAAGTCCAACAATTATTGAAGAAACAAACAGTGACGTATTTGAGCACGAAGCACTACTTGAGAATAAGTCTAGCGTTTGTGATAAAGAGTTTCTGTTGAATCAAGACTCGGATACAGCAGCACTTTACGAAGCCGGAATTCAAAACGGAAAGGACAAAAACTTCGTCGAATATCGAAATACACATGAGGACACTGACCAGGGAATTATTTTGGAAACTACGTCAACTCTTGATTTACTGCTTCAAGTACCTGATGATTCAGGGGAGAACTCTGATAGTATTGTACAAAACACAGAAGGAATGGTTGAACAAGGTTTGCGAGAGAATGATGAGACTGATGAGGAAAAACAAAGATTGATAAAGAGAAAGAATTTGTAACCACTCCGGTAAGCACATCAACGGAACACCAAGACACAATGACTGCAACTATCCTAGAAATCAATACAAACAAATGGAGTTGCGCCTATATCATACCACCCCGTTCAATGAATGCTGAAAATTCAGACATTTTCTCAAAAGCATTTAATGTTTTGGTTTTGGATAAGCAGTTGATTCCTACAAGCCCAAAGCTGAAGTCAGCGGTGATCACACTCAATTTACTTCCACAAAAAACAACACAGAACTACTCACTAGGAGTGGGTCGTGAGCTAAGTGAAGTTAAGATCCAAGTAAATGAAAAGCAAGCTCATCTTAGAGAGAGTGAAAGTGATTTTGACGTCTTGGAACAAGATGTAAATGTTTGGACAAATATTGATGAAGAAAATGACCCAACAAGAGAATATAGAGGAAAATCAAAATCGTTAGTAAAACGTATCCTGATACTTGCAATCAGAAGACCACGATGAAAATATCGTCCATTCAAGAAATCAAAGAAGAGAGAGCTGCAAGCGATCCCATCACACAGGACCAAATTTCCAAGAATCCAAGGATGGACAGTTTGTTAGAAACCGATCTCTACAAGTCAGTTCAAAAGGTGGATTTCAAGGCAATGACTGATCAGCGTTTATTTGAACATCTCATTTGTTTTGAAGCGGATGAGTTGGTTGACGAGAGAATTGCTAAAGATGAGAATACCGAACAAACACATCTGTTAAACGAGCTGGATGAAATTTTACTCCCCGGGAAAGAAATACAGGAAGCAATTTGTAAAGAAAAGAGTGAAGGTGTTCGACGTGATTTCTTATCAAAGCTGGACGAACTCCTCGTTGAGGAAGACACAGGGGAAGATGAAACGAAGGAGTTGAAGAAAGAGGTAAATAACAATATCATTCTATCAAAGTGGACGAGCGAGTTTATTCGTCGGAACTTAACACACGACTTGAAATGGCGGATAAAACACAAACATTGGAGGAACTATATCTTTTGCAATCAAATAATGAAATTTCTGAGGTTATCACAAGAACTGTAGGAAAGAGCTGTTTCGAGTATCCAGACTTATCTCAACTTGATGAAACGTTCGAAGCAGATCAAATTCCGGAGATCATTTTAGAGACGAGTAAAGTACAAACTGAAAAGCAAGAAGATTTCTTCTCTGAAATTGACAAATATTTTGACTCTATGGAAGACCGCCAACATCACTCTGTAGAGAAGACAGAAGAACCAGAAACTGTTCGAAGAGAAGAGATAGAAGAATCTCAGGAAGACGCTTGGGACATCACTGTCAATGATCGAGAGGTTCTTCCTCCTAAGGACAAGACGAGAACAATGGCTTATGGACTGTCTGACGCTAATAGCGATCACCCTATCTTCGTTATTTCACATCTGAGTTATGATTCAAGAAATCCTTGTGTTGATGAAGATGATGCTGATGATCGTGACCCGAGTAATGATTAATGATGATAATAATGATTACGATGATGATAATAATGATTACGATGATGATAGTGATGATAATGATGATTACGATGATGATAATGATGATAATGATCTTATGATGCACGACGCCGCTGCCTCGCCTATCCAAGGTGATCTATCATCTGTTTCAAGTAATTATATGCATCAGCAGAGTCATCATCTGAGATGGACTCCCTGCTAGATGACGTGATTGAACATCTTCCTTGGGATTCAGCAGTTTCAAATTCTAACTCGAACACAGACAAGTCCGATTATAAAATATTACGAGCTTCATATGCCAACATACGGTCGCCAGTCGTTTACCAAGTTGATTGCGAAGTTGATTGCGAAGTTGCAATCGATGGTAAAAATGTCCGTGAAAAAGCCATCTATCGTGAAACTTACCCATCTCATCACGACATGAAACAACCTGAAATAAACGAGACTAAACGACCACGTCTTTTCCAAAGGAAGAACAACCTTATGCGGACAAATAAACACAAATACGGAAATCAGTCCAGGCGAGAATAATTATAGGACAACAATGAATATTAAACAAAACGAAAATGAAGTGAATTCATCATACATGCTGTTTCAACGATATGGAAAGCAAGAATCTTCTTGGACGCATTTTGAACTGCATTACGATATGGACAAATGGAAAGTTGGGAAGCAGCTCACTTCTCAAGTGGACCCTGAGGAGTTTGTTGTTAGCTATGCGACCATCGAGCAAGTCAGACCACCATCAACAACTCTGGAATACCTACCAGCAATAAAAGAAGATACATTTGAAGATGACGTTTGCAAAATCCAGGCTACTCAGTTCATGTCTTTACAATCCTTACCATCACCTCCAGCACGACCACCATCACCACCTTTATCTCCATTACTTCAACCACCATCACCCCACCATCACCTCCACCATCACCCCACCATTACCACCCTCATCTCCATTACTTCAACCACCATCACCTCCACCATCACCACCCTCATCTCCATTACTTCAACCACCACACCTCCACCATCACCCCCACCATCACCACCCTCATCTCCATTACTTCAACCACCTCCACCATCACAATATACTGAACCAGGAAATGAAGAAATCACACCAACATACAAACCCAACATTAGAGACATACAAGGAGCAGTACCAGTTACAGAAGAAAGACAACCAGTATGGTCATTTGCGCAAGCTGTATTTCACACTGATGGTCAGAGTAAAACATTCTTTAAGGTGATCGATGATCGAAAAGAACCCTTCCAATCCAGCACGTTCATGTACCGAGGAGAGAGAATAAAAGTTTCCAGAGGAATCAAGGTCACAAAGAATTGTGTTGAAAGTTCAAATAAGGACATAGATGATGACAGAGGCGGGATAAATGATGATTACGAAGAACATCAGATCATGGATAGCAAGGATGAAGAGGACTACATAGGATATTCAGAGATTTGGGATGAAGGGAACAACAACGCGACAACAGGTAGTGTGATCTAATCGAAGAAATTAGTGCATTTCATTTCTTTCTTTCAACCCGAGATGAACAACATCAATATTATCACTACCATTATCACAAACAGCACTAAAATATGAATGCTTTTATCGCCTCTGTCTGAATTTCTCACTTTGTTTGAAAGTTTAAGAGGCTAATTGTATATTTATAATTTTCATAGTTAATAATGAAATGATGGAGGACATGGATGTACCTGTTGCCAGAACAATCACGACATACGAAATGGCGACAGAACAAGACCTTTTCCAAGAAAGAAATTGCTCGTGGTATTTGAAGCTACATGGCTCTCGCGGTGCTTGTGAAATCTCGTCGAACAACTTTGATGCAATAGCAAAGGATGACGACAACACTTTGCTTGGAAGTCTGGCGTTTTCCTCCGGTATCCATCGCTGGGTGATACAAGGACTTGGTATCTTCTGTGCTGTGGGGGTGTGTTACTCCGGGGAAGACGCAAGGGTTGGTATAAGGGCGGTAAGTGGGTGTGGACCACAGATGGTTTGATGTATTCTGAACCAACAGGAATAGCGAGGTCTGATTCGGGCAGTGGAAAAACGAAGATGTGTTGGAAATAACTTTGGACTGCGAGGAACAGCAACTCACAATTGTTAACACCAGAACGAAGGTTGAAGCAAGTTTATACGGATTTCAACAAGACGTTTATCCTTATTTTAATATCTATAAAGGAAGCTGTATTCGTTTGCTAGAAACATCATAAAAATATTCGACCTTGTTTAGGACATAAAGACAAAAGCAACAATAGACTTAACACAATTCGCACACTAGACACAAATTTCATACAATATAATTGCAATATGCATAGAAGATACACCGTAAGTTATATTACAGTGCGGTGCTTTTTCATCTCATTGTGAAGGGAAAGATTCACAACAAAATCACACCTTATTTTTTCATTATAACTGTAGTTCATGAATAATATTATACGTGCTGAAATCTATAACAATTTGATCCGTTAATTTAATTAACCCGAATAAACAATCGTCGCATGTATAAAATATAACATTTGTACAATAAATTATTTTCACACCAGGTAACTTTTTAGTATTGAAAGAATATACGTCTTCACTGTAGATTCGTGGGAACAACACATGATATTTTTAACCAAACACTCGATGATGGATGGCGATAAAGATATTTTTGAAACAATTTTAGCTGGTATTTCGACTAAACATTTGGTCTAGAAGGCTAGAGTGATGATACTACGCGAAACTGTTGAGAACTTTGTTCACAAAGTATTGTTTTCAATGTATGGGGGTGCACAACTAATACCAACTTTAAGGCTGTTAAATAGCTATAGATCTGGGATAATCGCTCGCTTGGAGCGTCACTAGATCCAGGACTCCGGACGTGGTAAAATATCATCGTCTAGGAAGCGGTGGTAAATCCTCGGCAACAGTCTCCGAGCCGTCAATGAGATGTCCCTCATGCCAATGCTGTAAAAAATAAAAAAGAGCGACGATTAGCAAAGGACGATGCTTTACACAAAAGTTTTTTTGTTTTTAAAAAACGGGCCGTTCAAAAACAAAAGTTATCTGCGGAGATAATCTCAAAAAATTCTTATCTCTCACGAAAAAAACGTCTCACCTTCTCAGATTAATTCACAAAATATTATGACCAGAAACTCAAAAGGATAAAAAATTGATAAAAAATATGTTCAAAAACTGATGCGCAATTCTTCCAAATAAAAACCGAATTACTCGACTGCTCTAAACGCGCGCAGCTCACAAGTAGAGAAAGGCATTTTTAAAAGACATCCCTGACACTATTGAAGCATGATAATATTCCACCTAATAATGAACTCTTTCTAACCTGTTGTCTTCGATGCCTGATCTCAACTTACGAGCTCCTAATCCATGTTTTCTGTCCTCTTTCCAAGTTCCTTTGAAAATATGTCCTCCGTGGGATTTCTGTTCACCCACGCCGTGTTTCTGAAGGACAAACAAGCAGTAGGAGATACTGAATGAAACCTGATTAAGAGGAAGAAGCTATATAAATCTAGCGTACGGTCTCGTACCATATTCGCCTTCCAAGCACCCTCATAACGTGTTCTGTAAGATATCTCGATACCAGACCCCTCTCGCATACCGCAACACCAGTCACCTGTAAACAAAGAAATGTCTCAAAGCAATGTCATCACGACACGGGGAGATACATTAAGTATGGTTTAATATACCTGTGTATGAATAGTCAGTGTTAGGGTCCGTGAATACACCACTACCATCAAACTAGAAAAAAATAAAGGATAGTTCACATACACCGATACCCCAACAATCATATGATATCCTTTACTTCATCGAGTAATCTCATTCTATCCTATGTTACCAACCTTATCTAATTTCCATTCCCGATATAGTGGACATTATT